ATTTAGTCATGTTCCATAATTGCTCAATTGTCTTTGATTTTGCTAATACGAGCGAACATGCGAGTCGCAGGAAGTAACGGAGAAGAAGTAGATGCGATCGCTTGACGTCCGTCGCGGATTCACCACCAGAGACAATAGCAGAAACGCGTAATTCATACACACAGGGAGCTGCAGTATTTACAGGATACAGTCGATATGCCACTGCGCACTTATGGCGATTAACGGCACCCTCCCCCGTGTCGAGGATAATTGCCCGCTTGTGCGCCAATTGCTTGGTAGCCGGCGTGCAGTTCGTGAACCGCTGAACACGTGGTGGAATTGGACGTAATAATTACTCGGTCATGGCTGGCTCCCTGGTGCTGGTGTGAGGCGACTCGTTGGCCTGTGCGTCCCCCAAGTGGTGACTTGCTTTGACCAAATTGTGAGCCTCTGTACCGAATATTGATTTGGCAGGTCGTTGCACTTGTTTGCAGACTGGAGGAAAAACAAACACTGCATGCGTGTTGAGTGTTTGTCACGGCAGCCGTCTGCGCCCTCCCGCATTTCCGGCCTTTTTGATTCTGCCTTGACAACCGGTTCCCGGTGCGGGGGTGATCAGGGAGTGGGGTAGACCCGGTGAGTTTGCCTTCATACACAGTCACCGCGTGCTTCAACTCCTTGAAGCCCGTAGTGGATATCGTCGAAATCGACGGTCGAACTATCGTGAATAGACTGGGGACCCGTGACGCATAATTCAAGTTAGCTCATATGTTGGTTAACTCTCGAAACGAAATATATAGGGAAATAGACAGTTGTTCTTACTTAAAAGCCCCTCTTTAATTCTTTTGCGTTTGGAATGATGATTTAGCCGTTATGTTCTGCTGAATCCTAGTTTGGGTCCCAGATTTGCACGCGAAATGCCCCTCCTTCTGCAATACAGGACCGCGTATAATAAAGCTTTTAGAGTTTGAACAATAGAAAGGGAAGGCAATATACATAAACAAATAAAGTTTATAAAAGTATAAAAAACAGGAATACTTATTTAAATAGTCTAATGTTTTAAAGAGGAAGACGCGATCTCTGGAACGGTAATTTCATTCGTCTGAGCTTTTGACTCCACACGAGAAGCCATCATCAGAGAAAGTGAGAAAAAAGTGAGAAAGTTCGTCAACAAAAAAAA